TTGAAATCACCCATTTCAACCCTCCGAGGGGGGTTGAAAATTCTAAATGGCATGTGAGAGCTCGATTGAAAGGGCTTTTTGAAAAGAACGCGAGGTCGTTGAGGTCTTTACGATTTTTTTTTCGCAGTTTTTTGACACTAGCGAGGTTCATAGCGAGGATGTGAGGAAGGATTTGCACATATTCCTGAGTGGATGAAAATGCATATGGAAGAACGCGCGCGCGCGCGCGTTGTGTGTGTGTGTGTGTGTGTAAGGACATGCACGAAGTCTTATCTTCATGTCCTCGCTGTGGGCCTCGCTAGTGTCAAAAAATACCAATGTTTAAATAAGCATAACTCTGCAAAAAAAAATCGTAAAGACCTCAATGACCTCGCGTTTTTTTTATCGTTTCGAAAAGCTTTTTCAAACGAGCTCTCACTCGACACCATATGCCATTTAAGATTTTCAACCCCCCTCCCCCGATTCTCTTTGGAGGGGTGTTTTCAAGGTTAAATAATAGATTACATTTTGCCATTGTAACCCTATAAATTTTAATCCAATATCCCGAACCGTTCAAAAATTATTTAGGTGATCTTTTGGCGGTCTCTGTATATAAAGCACCGTGTTAGCAGTATACGACCTCGAAAACATCATAGTAATTATTTTGAACCCAATTTGTCAAGTTTCGGCATTTTAATCGAAGATATTGTAAGATCATTCATAACTTTTGTGGATTTTAAACGCCATATTTGAGCTGCCATATTAAATTTTTCAAAAGACCATGTTACATTCAAAACTACACGTAGACAAAACTACAAGTAGACAAATATTTTGAAACCTAAACGTTTTTTCCATTTCGTCAATTTTTGGAAGGAATGGTGGCCTGCTTAACGCGAAGTGTTCCATATACACATATATACATATACATGTATATATATACAGGGTGTCTCAGAATAGGTGTATGACCGCTCATGGGTAGATAGAATGGACTAAACTGAATCGAAAAGTCCTCTACCATTTTGCAAAATTCGCAATATTTAACGAGATATTAATTTTTGAATATTGCCGAATGAGCGAGTATCTGTTCGGCGAGT